TTTCACATGACCTATTATACATTTAGTCCTTATTTACACTTTCAGTTTCTCACACCAGAGAAACTATTCAGTATTTACACATCTGTGTCCTATTTATTTCACTTAAGAGTATCGCCTCAATGTCTAATAATATTTTAAAAAAGTGAAAACATTCACTGTATTTTTTAATGACAGCTGCACAGTGTTTCCAACAAGTGCCCTTTTTTCTCCGTGATGATTTCCTGTTTCAAGTTCTCTTTCAAAGAGACTGGACTAGCATCATTGAGTTCAGGCAAAGACTCAAAGGATCAAAACCTAAATCAGAGAAACTTCTTGTCTTTGTTAAGAGGACCTTCTGGGCTGTCAGGGGTTTTGATTATCAGTGTCCCTGCAGCCTCTTCCATTCCCTGCTGGAGGATGGCACTGCTGTATCTTAGCCCCAGCCCCCCATTCTCATACAGGCAATTGAGCCAAGAGCCATGAAAATTGGAATTTGAGCCCTTGTTCTCCAGAACCTAATAAAGTTCTCCTCATCCAGGGTCTAGGAACCTGAGAGGCAGCACAGTCACTTGGTTGCACTGGTTAGTTCTACTAGGAGGACTTTTTAATCAGCTCACTTGTCAGTCAGCACGACAGCTATTCCTCAAATATTCCCCCAAGAAAGTCTGGAGCAGCCAGTCACCATCAAAGACTACACCAAAAGAGCTGTCATATTGCTAGATAAAAAAAGAAGAAAATGATGGGAAATCTTCAGCATATGTATCCTTTATTTTAAAATTTAGACACCTATTTCTTCTACAGTCAAAATAGGGGGCTGGGGATATAGCTTGGTGGTAGAGCATTTGACTTGCATGCATAAAACCATAGGTTCAATCCCTACCCCTAAAAAACAACAAAAAAGAGTAATTATATATTTATCTGCCTAAATCGAAATTTTACAGGAGTGTCAGAAATATTTTACTATAACAGTACAGGCTTTTTTTTTTTTTTAAAGAAAGAGCAATGTTTTAGATTTCATATTGAAGATGTTGTATAAGATATGCAGATTTATAGAATTATAAAATTAATTGTTCAGGAGCAGAGTGGGGAGCTGGGCTGTGTGCTGCCTCTGGCCTGGACTGAGGCAGTGTGGTGAGCAGGAAGGGGATGATGACAGGGCTGGGAGTGTTCCTGAGTCTGTCCCAGTGAGTGCTGCCTGGTCGCTGCATGTCCGTGGTCACAGGCTGAAGCCCAGCAGCCTGTGCCCTGCCATGTCCTGACCCACAGCCCGGTCCTGTGTAGCTGCTGCCACCAGCTCAATCCTCCCTGTCACCCACTGTCACAGGCTGCCTCAGAGGTGGACAAGAATGCTTCACATCATCTCCTGTTCATACTCCTGGGTCTCAGTGAGCTGAGATTTAAAACTCAGTAGTGCTTATTGGCCACTCTCCCAAGCCTACAGGGATGTGCACAATGCCTGGCACATAAGAAAATGGTCCTTAAAAGTATTTTTGAAATAAAAAGTCATCAATTTGATCTCAGTACAGTGTTAAATGTCCCTTGTCCCTTTTCTGCATCTCCTTTGGACCAGGCCTTTCATGCATGTGACGTGCTGTGGATGAAAACTTACAGTTTTGGATTAAGTATGCTCCAGGTCCCAGTAACCAGCTCTCTGTCCACTTGCTGGTTACGTGCTGAGTCAGCCCTGTGCCTTGAGAAGTAACACACCAGGACTCCCCCGCGGTGGGTAAGGAAGCCCATCTGGTCAGTGCCCCTGTGCCCTCCCTGCTTGCTCCAGCCTTCTCCCCGTCCCTCAGGGCTGACCAGAAGGAAAACATTTGGCACAGTTTCTCATCTCACCTACACACACAGCATCAATAGGAGCCCTTAGGGATACTGAATTTACACATTTTGACGGAGAGAGATGAATTCAGTTTGTTGTGGATTTTGTAAGTTGTATGACTATTTTTTACTTTCTAATTCTGTTCAACCTTTTGGTTGAAGTATTGCTCATGTCTTTTGTTTTTTGTTTTTGGTACCGGGGATTGAACTCAGGACCTTGCGCTTTCGAGGCAGGCATCAGAACCACTGAGCTAAATCCCCGGCCCCATTGCTCGTGTTTTAATTGGCTCACCACAGCCATTTCTTAGCAACTTGTTTCATTCATTCATTCATTCATTCATTCATTATTTTATGAATTTTTCATGCATTAAAAATTTAGGTTTTCTTCCTAGTACTCGGAAGGCTGAGGTAGGAGGATTGCCATGATTTCAAGGCCAGCCTGGGCTACATAGTAAGTTGAAGGCCAGCCCAAACTGCACAGTGAGACCCTGTCTCAAAAAAAATTAGGTTTTCTTACTGTCCAGGTACCTAGGCAGGAGCAGAGTGTGGACTGTGATATCATTGTCAAGCTTAGGGTAGCGTTCCACCTGCATTTGCAAAGAGCCTCCCTTGTGGACACCACGAATGGTCATTCACTCATTCAGTACATTTCGCTCGGATCCTCCGCTACACCTGGCTTTAGCATGCCTCTCTCTAGAAGCTTCTCAGCTGGTCAGGCCAGAGTTGAGCCAGCTCTGGAAAGCAGGCAGGGGACTCCCCAGGCTGGCCAGCATGCTATGGCTTACCTTATTGTTCCACCACTGACATACAAATTGGCCAAGTATCCCACAGCATGGTGGGCATCCCGGAGGCATTGTTATATTAGGTAACACAGCTTGCCACATTTAGCAGGATTTTCATTTCTGGGGGTCTGGAGGGCTCGCTTTGTTGCTCCTGTTTGGCAGTGACTATGTGGGCTCCATGCCTATGGGTGCTCTGTCTTTTTAATGATCCTGTTTATTAAAGCAGAGAAGCAATTTTCTTCAAGTTGCTCAAAAGCCTGATCTGTCAAAGATAAATGTTTCCTCCTGTGCCTCCTGGCTTGTATTTTTGCTCAAGGCCTTTTCTCTCTGCCTTCTTTGTTAGCTCACAGAGAGCCAGAGAAAGTGTTAAAGATTCACTTCACTCACTTATGGCCAATTAGGAAGTTTTGCTTTGGATCTGCCTGAAAGAAAAGTCTTTGGCAGCAGGTGTGGAACCCTCCCCTCTTGCACTCCAGAGAATTAAAAAACAAAAACAAACAAACAAAATCCCTTTCAGTTAGTTACAGAGCAAGTGTGAAACTACTGGTGGAAACAGTTCCGGATTTGGAAGTAGCTGGTTACAATAGTACCAAAGCTCTGCTGTATCATCAGAGTCACACAGCTTTGGGCTGAGTCCCTTTTCTTTAAGATCATCTCCATGCCTAACTCTGTCTTAATGCTACACATAGGAGCTGATCTCAAGTGTACAGCTGGAACGTGCTTTCATTGGTGGTGGTGGGGTGACTTTCCCTAAGTTTGAAGTGTGATCTGATTGTTTTGCTCTCCTTGGGGTGCTGCTAGATCCCATCCTGAATTGTAGGATGAAGAGGCGGTTCTGCTGGTTCCTACCTCAGGTTGTTGCTGATCACCAAGAAAGTGTTTTGACTCCCAGCAGAATATAAATGAGCCTGGCTGTGGGCTACATTTAAAACATTTCTCAAGCACAGCAAAAGTTTTGCTCTGAAATCAAATTGAAGCTCTCAGATTGTGAAGTCAGAGGCATGCTTGCTGTTTTTTTGGGTTTTTTTTGGTACCAGCGATTGAACTCGGGTCTTTGCGCTTGCGTAGCAGGTGGCAAAACCACTGAGCTGAATCCCCGGCCTGCTGTTTGTTTCTTGATGTAAGAAAACTTCAACCTGCATGTTTCAGCCCTCTCCCTGCCAGATAACGTGACCTGGAGCTTCCAAAAGGTGTTATACAAAGTGTAATTTAAATTTCATCTCTGTGGCTTGACAGCTGGACAATATGCTCAAAAACAAACAAAACAAAACAAAATGAACCAAAGGTTCCCATAACTTTCTTTGTCAGATTCTTTACCTGGTTTGATGTTCAGAGAGAAGCTGTCTATTTCCAGATCTAGCTGTTGGGATGCAATGGAACAAAGATCCTCCAAGACGCCATGCACAGCCTCGGCGAGGTTGTATGGGATGGACTCAGCAAACCTCATCTTGCTGTTCACGATCACACTACCGTTTCTGAAGTTAAGTATTTCAAGTTGCTTAAACCCCGTGAGATTGGATCTTAGATATGGAACCAGCTGCAAAATACAAGGTAGTTTATTATTAATTGCTGGTGTGAATCCTGTTCACACTCCTCACTGTCTGAGGCACATATTTCAGTTCCTTTCTGTTGATTTTTGTTTCTGGATTTAACGGGAGGCTAGAACACCTTGACTTAATGATCTATTTCTAGTATTTGTGTCCTTTATTTCCATCTTTTTATCTTGGTAATGATATGGGTGGGATCTTCATGATGAAATGTGAAAACAGATGATGTTTAAGAACCCAAGCCAATGCTATCAGCAAAGCTTGACTGCCAGGTTTAGTTGTTAAAAGAAAAACGAAAGTAAACAAAAACAGCTTCCAAACTAAGCTCAGGAGCAGTCTGAGCAGTATAAATGAGACTGCTGTTCTGAAGAGACAAATTTGATATGACCTATTGAAATCAGCATCAGCTTGGATGCCAGACACATTTCACCATTTCATGGCCAACACAATGTGCTGGGGAAAGAGCAGGGAACTGGCTGTTAGGAGACTTGGATCTTGTCCTGAAACTGTCCCTAACTAGCCTGGTAACCACTGTGCTATGCCTCAGTGCATATGAATTGGAATGGACAACCAAAAGAGATGCCCTAGGGATTCCCTTCCAAAGGATAATTTAATAATCTCCAGTATCCCTCAGGTACGCCTCACACTACCTCCTGTGAGGCACAGCCCTTGTGGAGATCATTTTCCAGAGATATCTGAAGCTCTGTGGTGTCTACTTGTCTCTGGCTGCAGGAGTGAGTCCCTCCTGATGGATGAGCTGCCCACCTGACAACCCAGAGAGCCCACAGATGCAAGCTGTGGTCTCCTGGCTTGACCCAGACCTGCTTTGTCTTTGCTTCAGTCTCTGCCCCACCAGAACTTTGACTGATTCTGACCCACATTTTAGTTTCTCCCTCATGAGATTATTATGAAAATAAAAGAACATTTTACATAGGGGTTGGAACTGTTTTCAATTTACTCTGTCCTGCTTTCTCCTACATACTTTGAACTTTTTCTTCATTTGTTAGCATAGCTTTGGCCTTGGGTAGGGGTTTTCTGTATTCCCCCAGTTGGTATGAAAATAGCTATCTGCCCCTTCTTCCAAACAGATTCTCCAGTTCTTTTTGTCATGTCATCCATTTCTTTTTGTGTTTTTTTGGTACTGGGGATCGAACTTGGGTCCTTGCAGTTGTTCAACAGGCGGCGAAACCACTGAGCTAAATCCTCAGCCCAGATTCTCCAGTTCTTGGTGGGATCGAAGTGGACCCCATTTCCAGCTTCCTGTGTGAGGGTGTGACCATAGCTCTAGTCCACCAACAGAATACAAGTAGAGGGGTCCCGGGAGCCTCGGAGTCACTCGCTGACAAGTGTGTCGTTGTCCCTCAGCCTCTTCTTATTCCCCTTCTTCCAAGTGGAAACACCTACCAGTGACCTGGCTTTGACCACGTCTATGAGAAAACACCGCTGAGGTTGGCAGAGTTGCAGGTGGAAGAAATGTGGATCTTTGAATGACACTGTAGAACTGAGCTCTCCCACCCATCACGTAAAAGAGAAATTACCCTGTAGCTGATGCAAGTATTTCTCTTCCTGATCTCTTGATTACAGGAACTCAGCACAAACCCGTTAAGAAGTGGGCTGGGTTAACTGAGACTGTTACTTGAGGCTGTCTCGATATCTACTTACCTGGTAGAGAGTGTGTGTGTGTGTGTGTGTGTGTGTGTGTGTGTGTAAGGTGGCACAGAATGTCTTAAAAGCAAATGTTCACCCGAGATGTTGGATTGTGTGTGGATTTTCATTTGTATAATGATTTACCTTATATGAAGCAAGTATTTTCCCCTTTATTGTCAGACATGCATTGTGTAGCTTACTTTAATTGGCCACGACTATGCAGAGGTATTATAGTACAGCATTTCTTATTGTGTATCTATTTTTTATTGTACTTGTAGAAATCAACATGTGGTTTGGGGGTTTTAATCAGCAAACGTGTGAGCCATCACAATCATTTGCTCACTGTCAGGGACAAGGGGCCAAAAGAGAAGCCTTTGCTTGGACTCTCCCCCTCAGCTGCGCTGAGCCCCTTAGGCTCTGGGCCCTTGATCAGACAGTTACAACTCAGGAAAAGTTGATTAGACTGCTTTTAGATTCCAAATTCAGTACTAGAATGGTTACAGATTATTTCTGGTAGAATATTTTAGGAGGCATTGCAATGAGGATATTTTAGGGTACATTTGTTTCTAGGAGAAGAGCGTTGACATCTCCCCTGAGTGTCCACAACAGAACTCCCTTCCCTGCCTGGGTCTAAATCCATCTCAAAACTCTAGCTGACTCTCCTCAGCTTCAGCTATCCCAGGGGCTTGTTTCTTCTAAGTATGCATTGCCCAGTGTACAAAAATGAGAGGGAAGAAAGAGACACAGATAGTTGAGAGTAGTAAGCAGTGCCCACTCACCAGCTGTGTGAATCGTTGCTCCAGAGCTTGGTACTCCAGAGAGCTCTTGTTGAACAGGTGGTCGGAGAAGGGCATGTTAGCAACACGCAGACTGAAGAAGACTACCAGCTCTCGGCCCTCGGTGGCAATGGTCATAGAGCCAGTGGTGATGTACTGCAGTGCTGGGACAGGAGTGGTTCTCTCCGGGAAATGATCTGGGGAAGAAACATATCCATGCAGTCCCAGTTCTTCCAACAGGGCACGAGTGTTAGACACTGCCATTCTATCTTGGTCGCCGGTCACATCTTGGCCAGCTGTACTCAACCTGCCATCATACGGAGATACAGGCGAATGTGGACTTTCCAGAGCCAACTCACCAACGGCAGAAGAATCACGAGTGGGGACGGTGACCTCTGGGACTAGCACTGTTTGGTCAGTGGACTTTACGTCTGTGGTGCCTTGATCAGTGAGGGAGAAGACGCTTGATGTGGAAGAGAGTGGTAGAGTTTCTGATAGGGAAGTAGAGACCCCTGCCGGTGAAGTCCAAGAACTGCCGGTGGAGGAAGCGCCTGTGACCAATTTCGTTGTCCACGTGGTTCCCAAAGAGGAGAAAATAAAAAAGAAAATTCAAAGTTAGGCTTAATTAAAAAAAAAAAAAAAAGATATTTGCATTGATAATTTAAATGGTATTTTTTTTTAAAAAGAGAAATTGAATGGCAGGAAATGGTGTATCCAAAACTAGGCAGACAAAGGGTGGATCTCTGCCTAGAAATATGAGACTAAAAAGTATTAGGTACCTAGAATTTTTGGAATTACATAGCCCATGGGTCAAGCAACACAAAGTGACAAGTCACTACTGGAATACATTTAGATCCCAAACCATAGCTGGCACTGAAATAGATTTAAATCCCACTTCCCCTTCGGCAGTTTTGGCCCTGAAAAATTATTCACCTTCCAACAATACAAATCTGCATTTTATCTAACTGAAGTTTTTGGATTCAATGACCACATTTTGGTCATTTTACCACTTAAAATTTAATTTTTCTCATTCAAAACTAGCTAAGCTTACTGAATAACTTACCTGTTTACAAAATGGTATTGAGTATAAACATATCAATGCCACATATAATTTGAACTTTATATTGACCGTACAACTTGCTAAATATTTGATAATGTTTAAAACCCTTGCCACTATTACATTATCACACTCTGATAATTTTCACACCTTGGCATTGGTTTCTTGGGTAAGTACACATTGAACTACTGAAGTGCACTCCATTTTTGGTATAAAAATAAAATCAGTAAGTATTTACAAACTAAGATAGTGGTTATATGAAACTTTCAATTAAAAAGATTGATGGATTATTAAAATACTCCAAATAATTTTAAATTCCAGAGCTACTGACAATATTTAAGGCATTAGGTGAACAAAACAGGGAGCTTTCTGTGATTATTTCAGTGGCATTTTGGCAAATGTATGGGGAAGCTCTGCTGAGACCCAAATGCTAAGCATGATGAATGGTCTGTCTGGATGCAGATATAATCTTTGGACTTGCAGTTAGCTAGTTTACTACTGTGCAATCACCAGAACTGAAACTGTAAGTGATAAACAACTCTGAAAGCTAGAATTACATTAGTTTTATTACTTTCTTAAAATAAAACCTGGCTATAGGTGAGCTATGCCCAGATTTCAGAGAATCACCCTCTTTTCTTTCACCTGAGAGTGCCTAGGTATGTGTAGCCACACTTCATCAGACTGTCAGAAATAATATTTTCTAACACCCAAGGTGTCTCTGTGTGTACACTTAAAGTCTCATTCAAATCTCATTGCTATGGACTGAGTGTGTCTCTCTCGGGTTAATTTGGTGAAGTTTTAATCCTTAATGTGATGGTATTTGAAGATGAGGCCTTTGTGGGATAATCTGGTCATGAGAGTGGAGTTCTCATGAAAGGGATTCAGATTAGCACCCTGAAATGAAGGGCCATGAAAGGTATCATCTCTCTTTTTGCCCTGTGAGGTTACAGCAAGAAAGCATCTGTCCGCAAACTAGAAGTGTTCTCATCAGAAACAAAATCTGCCAGCACTTTGATCTTGGATTTATAAATGTTTGTGTTTCATCCACTCAGTACATGGCATTTTGTTATGGCAGCTTGAGCTAAGATACTCATGAAAGGATCTGGGATGTGTAAATTTAAAGGCGTCTAGTGTTATCTGTGGTTTGAGTTGACATCTTGCCCTAGGAAATCCACTTGGCCGTGGGCACCAATGGTGGGCTCTCCATGCCCCTACAGAGGATTAAGGGTCAGGAGACTCTGAGGCAAGAATCACAACGATGGATGTCTTCACGCTGCTCTGGAGCCAGGGTCTTATTACCTCTTCTCTCTGGATAAACTTTACTCAGCTTGGAATAGTCTGGTGCATTATTTCACCAGTCAGTGAATTTCTAGCCTCTTTCCTTTGTGGCATCGTAATATTAACAAATATTCACATTCACAACAAACATAACCAAGTTATTTCATTGATATCACAGTTGTCTATTTAAAGATACTATACAGGATGTCACTTGGAAAATATATGTGGTAAAAGCTAATTAGATTTATGTGGAATTCAAATTTAACTGGATATTTTATATTTTTCTTTGTGGAATCTAGCAGCCCTATTGAAGTGTGATTTTAAAAGACTGCTATTTCCTTTCTCTCTCTCTCTCTCTCTCTCTCTCTCTCTCTCTCCCCTTCTTTCTTTGGCTCAAGACTGAAGCTGCTGAACCAAGACTCAACTCCTTGGGGGGGAAAATTGTCATCTAAACCTTACTACTATTTGTAAGTACATATATAATAATTATGTGTTCAACTAATTCTTATGTAAAAATTAGTCATAGGAGCAACATAGGACAATGCAACATTAAGTTTTCCACTCTACAATGGTTAAGTCAAGAGTTGAAAAGCCAAGGCCATTTATTTTATCCTGAAGAATGAAAAGTAGACTGACTCTAACTGTTGTGCTGGAGTGTGTGGGGGTCTCGGGAAGGGTGGAGAGTGTTTATGTGCATGTGTATGTGGCAGGAGCGCGAGCCACAGGCCTGGCTCCTGGGTATAGAGTAAGTGGCTCATCTGATCACCTTACAGATAAGAGGTCTGCCAAAGCCAAGGCCACAGATGAATTGGTCCAGTCCAAAGTAGGAGGTCTTGGGCCCGCTGAAGCCTAAAGTGAAATAGCCAGCCATAGATGAAGAGGGGCACAGTGTGGGGTGGTGTTTGCTAAGCCCTATTAGTGACCAGAGGTGAACAGGGCATGGAGGAGAAAACGGGCAGATGTGAGGCCACTTTACATGCTGCTCAAAGGGTCACCTATGTACAGGGAGCCATAAACATCAAGTAGCAGCCTACTTCATGTTTACAAAGAAAAACCTAAAAAGAAGAGATTCCACAACCTCCTTCAAGTGGCATGACCAGCAAGTTTTTAACTTTATATCTAGCAAATCCATTCTTATTTATTTTGGAGTCTTATAGAGATAGAAAGTAAGTGTTTATTATCAATTCATTCAGTGAATAGATACTGATATCCTACTATGTATTATGAGGCTTTATCCCAGGTGCTGAGATGCATCTGAGCAAGATAAAGTTTCTGACTGTCTACAGCATATTGTTTAGTAAGGAGGGCAGAAAAACAAAACCTAAAATGAGCAAAGAAAAATACATAGTAACCAGGTGGTGATAAGTGCTATGGAAATAAGATGAAGCAGGAAAGGGGAGGGGAGTGCAGGGCCTGTGACTTTGTAGAGAGTGGTCCCTGGGATTATTTGAGCACAGACTTGAAGGAGCCGAGAATGAGAAGCACAGAGGAAGAAGAATGTCTGCCGTGTTCCAGGGACCAGCTAAGGGTCACTATGACCTGTGTGGAGTTCTGTACCACAACCATGTGGCTAAAGATGTTTGCAAACACACAAGGTCTCAAGACATTTCTCCTGGGGATTGTTGCTTAGGGTGTGTTTACTTAAAATGAGGGCGCGCGTGCGCGCGCGCACACACACACACAGGAAAATGGGATAGGATACCAGAAAATTTATGAAGAGCTCCACAAAGATGGTGAAGCAATCTCTCAGAGAGACAGGTGTCGTCCCAGGTGTGAGGGCAACTAGTTAAGTCTGCTTTTGTCTCAAGAGACAAATATATATGAGATGCTTGTATCCTCATGCCTTCTGCCAGTTAAAAATATTTTCCAGCTTTATTAAGGCATTATTGACAAGCAAAATTTGTGGACTAAATTTTTTAACATGACAAAACTACTAGAGGAGTACTCCACAGAACAAAAGCATAAACCCAGAGACAGCAGTGATCAGAGCTTCCAGCTCAGGAGGGGACAAGGAAATTCTAAAGATGTCTAACAAGGAGTGCAAAGTGATGGTCTGTGTCTTGCCTGGCCTAGATGATATCCTCCGAGCAAACATCCGGCCCGCAACAATCAACAGGGAGCTACTAAAAGGGCCACGTTACTCTCAGGAAGCAAAACAGATGGCCATGAAGAAAACTGAGGATGGGATCTGCAATCTCCCCAGCACTGAAAGATCCAGCGCTGTCTGCACACCTGTGCTGTCCATCCTTGGACCCTCAATCGTAAATGTTTCACTCCAGGTGCCTCAGCCCCTTCAGTACCTATATAAACCAAATTTCCTGCCCACGTAGCTGCTGAAATTTGCTCCTAATTTCAGTCTCTGTTCACACAGAGACAGGAATAAAGCTTTTTCTCAAACAAAGCTTGTGTCCCAGTGGCCTCACACAGGCTGTTTATAACAGCCTGAAGAGAGGCAGAGAGAGGTCCTGAAAGCAGGAACTGATATTCCCTGACGGAAAAAGTTATACAGGAAATTGTGGAAGAAAGTTTGGGGAGAATTAGCAACAAAATTAAAGAAAACTAAGCAAGTGGAAAGAAAAAACAAAAACATTAACTTCAGGGAAACAGAAAGGAAAAAGCACATATATCACCTGTGAATATAAAATCTTAACATTAGCTAGTGATTTACTAATAGCTGTAATATCACTAAATTGAGAGAATCGAGGGGAGGCCAAGGGGATGATATTGTAAAAACTTAAATTCTTATCTACCGTTACAGGAAGTCAATAAGTGATGTATAAAACTGTCTTTTTTTTTTGGTACCAGGGATCAAACTCTGGTCCTTGCGCTTGCAAGGCAGGCAGCAGAACAACTGAGCTAAATCCCCAGCCCTGGTATTTTGGTTTTTTTTTAAGTATTTGCAAATGCTAAGACAAAGAGCTAAGAGCAACTGGTTTTGGTAGGTAGGACTGCAGGGTAGGAGAATGTGAGATAACAAGGGTCTTTTTCTATTTCTCAGAACACTGCATACTATGTTTCACTTTTAGGAAACTGAACTTTTAAATTTTGAGATAATTATAGATTCAAATGCAGTTATAAGAAATAACGCAGGGAGTAGCATCAGTGAGAACTAAAGAAAGGGTCCCTTTCCCCCTTCTCCAGAAGCAACAAAAACTGTCAAAATTCCTCTGGAAACTATTACAAAATGTGTGGCAGTCAGGAATGCTTAGCTAAGAAAAATGGGATGAATCTTGTGAAGGCCAGTGAATGCTGGGGGATTTTTTTTCTCCACGTATTT